GTAATCATCTTCATTCAGACCCCATTCTCGTACTCCCCTTGCCAATTGGTCGCGGCTAAACATCGAGATCATATCTACGATCAAAATCACTCTCTGACTGTCTAAACTTTGGCTTTCTAAGAACCTTCACTTCCCGTCCCCGATTTCGCCATATTCGAAGATGCTCTTGTCCATGCCCATGCCAATGCCTGGGAATCTTCCTCCCCATCGGCTTCAAACCCATGACTCAATTATCATTTTCCTCATCCCCACCCACATCGTGTCTCATTATTTGGGGCCCTGTGTCCTGCTTAAGTGATAACCGCTGGTGTTAAAATGCGCCACTTACCTTTTTCTTCTCCTAAATCGCGGAAAGCACACTCTTCTCGTCCTTCAAGTTGGTACTCTCATCCAATCCTATGTTAATAGTATGTCCATATGTGTGTTGTTTAGTATCCCTCGTGGTCAAGCCTATCACCAGTCCGCTTTCATTAAGGCACACATTAAAAATGCACACACGCACACACACTGGTGACCTATATCTGGTATACCTATACCTTTAGCCTTTAAGTACCTATCCCACATCCCACAGGTGGACCCCCCTGGGTATATTTTTGGCCGATTCCAGGTATGACTCCTCTCTCTCTGCAATCGCCTTTTCTTGAATTCCCTTTCTTTGTCATAAGCCGCTCCTTGCTGATGTCTTTTCCTGTTGTTGAATAGTTGTCCTGGGTCCAAATTTCTCCCTGATCTTCTGTTTTCTGATGTTCTCCCTATGATATGCCTTTAATGTGAGACATATTCATTCTATTTTGTTTAAGATGATATAAGAGACCATTAAGAAAAACTGGGTTTCAAAGAATTCCTTAATGAAATATTGTGAAACGACTCCATTTCTAATGGAAAGTTGGTTGGAAGGAATTCGTGATGTGATATTGCCAGAAACTGAAGGAGGATTGCCGCGTAGGGAAGACTGTTGAATTGTGCGACGAAGTCCTCGGCTCACCGCCCTGTGACCCAGATGAAACTATGCTAAACTTTGGCCTGTACTATGACAGACATCATCAGAGCAGATATCCATACTTCGTCGAATAGGGCAATAATAAACTAAACCGAGTGGAAAGGTGGCCTGCTGCAGATCTAGTCGCCGGCTATCTTTTTTCTTGGTTTATTATATATTTGCTCTATTTCAGGAAGTATGAATACCTGCTATGATGACGTCTGTCATAATGCAGACGAAAGTTTAGCACACTTTAATCGGGGCTGCAGGACGGTGAGCCGAGGAGATCGTCGCACAATTTAACGGTCTTCCCTACGCGGCAATCCTTTTCGATTTCCGGTGAGACCACATCACGAATTCCTTCCAACCAACGTTCCCTTCGAAATAAAGAGTATTGCCACGATAAAAGAGACTTACTTGAGTGTTCCCACAATCATATGAATAGGCTTCAAGTTTTTATTAAAGTTCACATTGCCTTGCTTTCTAAAATGTATTCTCATTCAGGCAGGATTAGACGGCGGTTTCGACTGCGCCTTGGTCTCATTAACATAAACTCAACGGGACTCGATCCCTGATAGTGTATTGACATGTTATAGAATAAAAATGGGTAATGTAGTCAATTACATAGTCAACAATCCCACCACCGAAAGTGATATGGGAAAAACCTAGCCTTCCCTAAATTCACACCTTCCCTGTGACCCAAGTGTGCTTGTGGCAGTCCGGCGTACTCGGTAACGTGTCAAGAACATATACGTTCCATTACCAAAACCCGTGTTCGAGTCCCGCTAGGGGTGGCGATGTGATCAGTTCAAGTGAGGTTGCGATTACAGTTTATTCCAGCCTTGATGAGAATGCCTTGTTGGAAGCAAGGCCATGTTAAACTCGATGTAAACGTGAGGCCTACTCTTATCATTTTTGGAAACTTCAATCACCAGTCCTTCATCGCTTTAAATGAAATATGACGAATACACCACATATTTATGATCTACTGGTACTCTCGAAAGCGTATTAATAAAATGCAAACAATTTATATGTTTGGAAAAGCAGATGAAAACATTTCCCAGGATTAACTTTACACAGAGCAATTATTTGCAACTAACTAAATTAACTCTTCGAGACTTAGCTACCTTCATTACGGAATTCTTATGAATTCGAAAAAAGTTGGTTTTCAAAGGATCTCTTGGTTTATAATTGTTGAACTGATTCCCATTTCAAGTGAACGTGTGTCTAATGAAGCTATTCTTGTGGGCCGAGCCAACAAGAAGTCGACGGCGGAATCCCCTTGACCAGCTGTCATCTTGCTCTACTGGAACCTTTTGGTTAGTGCTGACCCCGATTCCTGTAAAAATTTGCTACGCTTTCGTCCCTCAATTGACAATATTCAAGTTAATGAGTCAGAAAACTCGTCGATTTATCTCTAAATTTCTTATAAAAAAGTATTAAGTCCTTTGGCTAGTTTACATTATAGGCTTGAATAAAGCCAAACGGCATCTGGAAAAGAGGAATCCGTTATCGTCTTCTATTGGGACTGACTCAAATCTTATAAATTTGTTAGGCCAGCGGATGAAAAAATGTACTCTCAATGTACGCCAATATTTTGCTAAGTAGAATATCGCAGTCTCTGAAAATAATACTGGATCTCAAGATTTCAATGAAAAAGACTCACAGGAATACATTTAGGAGTAACTAATTTAGTTGTCGATAATTTTAGCAGTAATTT